GTCGTTACTTGGGCTCATAACCTGTTAAAAGGTAGCGGAGCGTCGAAGTGAAGAACACGTGTTGGTCGAAGCAGCAAAACCAAAAGTGTATGATTCTGTGAGTGTAACTCGTTCCTACCGTTGCTACTCATATTTCTGAATCACTTCTTCATTCCAACTGCCCCGTCAATCCTGGCGTTCCTTTCCCATGTTCCTTTCCCATATAACGGTTTCTCTGATGTGGACATCCTTTCCACTGAGCACAAAAATGGGGGACGTCACTGTCTGGCAGGACAGTGCTGGTGAACCCCAAACACCAGGACCCTAAGGTTTAACTTTCACTGCCGGGTATCGAACCGGTGACCTCTGGAATATGGCTGCCACACATTTCCACTCGAGCTATAGCATGCTTACGAAATGCACGTACTGGTATCCTATTGTACCGTACTAAGTGGATCATATTATAGACATGCTTCATCCTATGCATGTCCATAACATACCCTTCGCATCACCTAATCCTAACACTCTCCCTTGATGCGCATGTACATGCTTTGTATGCCTACTTTGCCAAATTTAAACCTCGCAGAAACATGTCATGCTTAGTCCGCCCAAGAGCCTTCGTCAATCCGTCCGCAATCATCTCGTCGGTTGGCTTGTACTCAACCTGAATGACGCCTTCCACAACCTTTTCGCGAAGAAAGTGAAACTTGATATCAATGTGCTTTGTTCTTGCATGAAAGACCGGATTCTTTGCCAGTGCAATGCACCCTTGATTGTCTTCATAAATAGTCGTCGCCGCTCCACGTCCGAATCCAATGTTGGATAGTAATAGACGCAACACAAGCAGTGCGTCGTCCTCTCGGCCACTTGCGGCGGCTCACTGGCGGCCGACAGCGTCGCACGGCGCACGGCCTCGAGCGCTGTCCGGTCGGACGCGGCCTACCAGTCGATCCCTCACGACGGCCCGGCGGCGCTTCGGGTGATGGACGCGGGCGCGCAGACGTTCGTGTGTGTGGCGTGTGGGCCGCCGTCGTCGTTGGCAGTAGCGGCCTCCACTGGCTCTCGATGCGCGGGGCCTCTGGTGCTGTCGGCGCACTGTCGGCCACGCGCAACTCGGACCGGTGGAAGAGCAGCTGCTGGAGGTGCCGCCCAGCGCGACGCTGTCGGCTGAGACGCTCACGGAGTGCGTGCGACGCGTGTGCGAGAAGAGCATTGCGACGGTGGCCAGTGGCACTGCGTTTGCACGGAAGGCGGCGAAGCGACGCCGTCACAAGACGCGAACACGGACGTGAGCCGCATGTCGCAGGAGAAGATACTGTCAGGTGCGATGCACAGCAAGAGCCTATCGTCGGAGCAGTGGAAGCAAGTGGTACGTCGCACTTGCCTCAGCACAACGGCGTTTGTGGACCCGAAGCACGCGAAGAAGGCGGTGCAAGCATGGACAACAGTGGCCGCCGTGTCCGCTTGATGGACTGTGGCGTGCACGGCCTGGACGGCAAGATGGGGAATACTGCGACTCGATTGCAGGAGTCCGCAACTACCACGAGCCGTAGTTTCGGTCGGTCGCCACGTTGACGTACTCGATTGCGAACCGAGCGGCGGAGCCTGTTGAGACTCCAGACGTGTGCAAGTACAAGAAGTTGGGCTCATAACCTGTTAAAAGGTAGCGGAGCGTCGAAGTGAAGAACACTTGTTGGTCGAAGCAGCAAAACCAAAAGTGTATGATTCTGTGAGTGTAACTCGTTCCTACCGTTGCTACTCATATTTCTGAATCACTTCTTCATTCCAACTGCCCCGTCAATCCTGGCGTTCCTTTCCCATGTTCCTTTCCCATATAACGGTTTCTCTGATGTGGACATCCTTTCCACTGAGCACAAAAATGGGGAACGTCACTGTCTGGCAGGACAGTGCTGGTGAACCCCAAACACCAGGACCCTAAGGTTTAACTTTCACTGCCGGGTATCGAACCGGTGACCTCTGGAATATGGCTGCCACACATTTCCACTCGAGCTATAGCATGCTTACGAAATGCACGTACTGGTATCCTATTGTACCGTACCAAGTGGATCATATTATAGACATGCTTCATCCTATGCATGTCCATAACATACCCTTCGCATCACCTAATCCTAACACTCTCCCTTGATGCGCATGTACATGCTTTGTATGCCTACTTTGCCAAATTTAAACCTCGCAGAAACATGTCATGCTTAGTCCGCCCAAGAGCCTTCGTCAATCCGTCCGCAATCATCTCGTCGGTTGGCTTGTACTCAACCTGAATGACGCCTTCCACAACCTTTTCGCGAAGAAAGTGAAACTTGATATCAATGTGCTTTGTTCTTGCATGAAAGACCGGATTCTTTGCCAGTGCAATGCACCCTTGATTGTCTTCATAAATAGTCGTCGCCGCTCCACGTCCGAATCCAATGTTGGATAGTAATAGACGCAGCCTCACCGCCTCTTGTGCCGCAGCATACAATGCCATATACTCAGCCTCTGTGCTAGAAGTTGCCACTGTCGGTTGCCTCTTCGACTTCCACGACACCACGTTGCCGTGCAAAAAGAACACGTAACCTGTAGTCGAGCGGCGAGAATCCAAGTCGCTTGCCCATGACGCGTCCGCAAATCCTAATAGCTCTCCCTTGTTCTTGCCGTGAAATACGATGCTATAATCAGCAGTCGTCTTGAGGTATTTGAGCACGCGCTTGGCTGCGATCCAGTGGATTTTCTCATACCTTTCGCAGTACTTAGCCACTTCTCCTACCGCGTGCATGATGTCCGGTCTAGTGCACGTTGCGACGTACATAAGGGCACCAACGAGTTCGCGGTATGGCCACTTGGGCACAAAGTCGGCATCCATTCCAAGCTTGGTCAACTTTTCACTTTCGTTTGACGGTGTGTGAATGTCCTTGCATTGGTCGACGCCAAACTTTTCTGCCAAGCGCTTAATGTAAGCGCGCTGATTCATGCTGATTGATTTTATCTGTCGATCACGTGATAACTCGATACCGAGACAGTATTTCAACTCGCCGAGCTCCTTGATACTGAACTCTGTCTTGAGTGCACGTTTAATGTCATCAATGTGCTCTTGTGTCTGAGCGAAGAGCATCAAGTCGTCCACGTGAATGAGCACGAGATCAAAGTGACCATGCGATCGTCGCACATAGACACAAAGATCGGCAGACGTGCGCTTGAACCCTTGACCTTCAAGGTGCGCGTTCAGACGATGATTCCATTCTCTTGCCGCTTGTTTTGTACCGTACAACGCTTTGTTCAGCAGACACTTCTTGTCCCGATGTTGCTGGTCACCAAATCCATCCGGCTGGTCCATGTAAATCACCTCCTTGACTTTGCCGTATAGAAATGCCGTGTCGACATCAACGTTCTCCATGATTAAATATTGCTCCGCCGCAATTGCAATGGCAACGTTGATCGACTCTTTCCGCGCCACCGGAGCATATGTCTCAAAATAGTTCACTCCAGGACGTTGCGTGAAACTTTTTGCCACAAGTCGTGCCTTAAACTTCACGATTTCTCCATTTGGTTTGCGCTTTATGCGAAATACCCACTTGCACCCGATTGCTCTCTTGTCCGAGGGCAAATCTTGAAGCGTCCATGTGTCGTGTTGTGTCAGCGATTGAATCTCACATTCCATCGCACGCATCCATTCGTCCTTGTACTTGCTTCGCAGCACTTGATCTTATGTCGATGCGCTTTCACCATCCTCTTCAGCGCTGAAACAGTATTGTGCCTCGTAGCTAGCGTCATAGTCGTCGAAGTTAAAATTTCCTCGCCCTAGATTGGTAAACTCTTGCTCGTAGCGCTTAATCGCTTGTTTCTTGCGTACTGGTCTCACATTAGACTCTTGCTCGCCGTCTCTTCCTGGTGTGCTTGATTGCCTCGTCGGGATGGCATTGGTTGGCCGATCCATTGGTCCTGTGTTGTCAGGTGTCATTATCGGACTTCCTGGTGTCGGCGTCCTGGGTCCCTCATCGCTTGTTGCGTGGTCAGTTGGATCCAGATTATCCTCACCGTTGTCCACAACGTCGACAATTCCAGGCGTATCTTCGTTGCGTGTCTGATCTACCGCAGTTTCCGCAAAGGTGACACTCCGGGAAATTAAAACTTTTCCAGTGGTTGTATCAAGAAGTCGATAAGCTTTGTGTTGCTTGGCATATCCGAGCAGCATACGCCGCACACCAGATGGGTCCAGCTTGTTTCGCTTCGCTTTAGGTGTATGCGAGTAGCAAAGACTTCCGAACACCCGCAATTTCTCGATACGAGGTTTTCGCTTGAATACCATCTCGAATGGGCTTGAGTCTGGACTGGAAGCGCTTGGAAGGACGTTACGGATATCCACAGCGGTCAGCATCGCCTCACGCCACATTGCCGTGCAAAAAGAACACGTAACCTGAAGCTCGAGTGGAAATGTGTGGCAGCCATATTCCAGAGGTTACCGGTTCGATACCCGGCAGTGAAAGTTAAATGTAAATTTTGGTGCTCATTGAAAATTTTCATCGGTTGGTCAGCAAAATTTAAACTGATGTTTACTACCATTTCGTACAAACTTGTTCCAAACACATATGCGTCTTATTGCCATTCAAGTATTTGGAATGAGCAAGAGATGTGTTACCGTATCCATTGCGCTTGTTCCGAGCGGTACATTCCATTTCGTCTGATATGTGCAATGGATCGGACGATTGCGAATACGCACAGCCGGTTAAAATGGTTTCAAGTAATGGCTGAATCGAGCAAAATGCAATTACAAACTCGGCTTATGATGGTAACAGGTTCGCAAACTCACAATCGAGCGTCTATGAACGACTGAACTGCCTTGCTGCTGCTATTGTTAAGTAAGGGGCTCATACCACACACATTCCTATCATGTGCCATCGACTTCACCTATTTGTGATGCATGTCATATACGCAGTACGCTTTGCTTGCAACAACGGCCAGCAGCTTTGACACATTGTCGGTCGTGCAAACGGTCATATCGAACGTCGACTGCACATGTAGCCAGTCTACTGGACAACAGAAGCTGGACGTAGTACGCTTTGAATCGTCCCTCGCTTTCCATTGTACCGCCACTTTGGGTCTTCCTTGTCGAGCTTTGCCACAATGTCCGGAGGAATGCCCACCACGGGGTTTGACTTCAACGTGCGGAACGAGACGAAAGCCGTTGGAAAGTACGGAACTGCTTCCTCCACGGGCGTTGACGGCGGCCACAGACGGTCTCCGAGTAATCGACGGTAGTTCAGATCTCCTTTGATGATCACGAGCGTCGCCTCGCGAGCAAAGCGCGTCTGAAGCGCCATTGGCATATCCCAATAGTAAGTGTAGCGGTTCCAGAAAATGTCCGACTCGATCACGAGCGCGTCCGTCTTGACGTATGTAGCCAATCGCTTCCCCAGTGCCTGAACTTCCAATGTGCGTGTCTCACGCTGCATCTCGGCAATGTGTTCGTGCACGTCCGCAGGCGTTGCGTCCGAGACGTACATGGGCTCCACCTTTACATTGAGCGTGACCTTACCACACCAGCCACGAGCGAGCAAGTGGTCGGCCAATGCCAAGTCGAGCAAGAGCTCTGCTCCGCTATTGTCGTTCATGAACTGCACGTTCAAAGCCGTTGCATCGCCAGTCTCTCGCGTGTGGTGCTCGAGGTAGTCGATCACTCGATCCGTGTGGTCGACCAGCAGCAGCTCGTCGTCCAAGTCGAACGACGCGTTCGTACCTGTGACTGTATCTTTCACCTCTTTGTAGCACCCGTCGGCCTTATTGCCCCATAGACACAGTCTCACCAGACGCTTCAGGTGGTCTCGACGACGCTGCGCATGAACTTCCTCGACCTCCTGACCATCACTTCGACTCACTGCTGTCTGCAACAGCGTCCACGGCGTCTCATCTTGCAGCTCGGCCACCTTTGACGGGTGGAACGGGTCACTGCCTGTGGTATAGTACTCGGCCAGCAACAGCACGAGATAGAACATGTACTGCTCAATCAGAAACCACGGCGCGTTTTGCCACGTGTACGCTTTGCCCTTGAGCAGTGTCTCCCAGTGGGCGCTGGTGGGCGACTTGGAACACTGCTCCGGGTATTGAGACGGTAGTGGCACAGCGGCGTCGTTGATCATATCCTCTGCCAGTTGCAGTAACTGCTGGCGCTGGTTGGCTGAGAACCGCTGGCGATTGTCGGCGACGCAGTCGCGCACGAGGTCGGGCAGTCGTGACTTGAACGAGTCATTGGCAAAAGTGCCCGCGACGTTCGTGAACATCTCGTCGTACTGCTCGACACGAGTGCGGAAGTCGGTCGAGACGCCCATAGTGTTTGTTCGAAATGGGAACAGCTCACACGACTTCGGAAGTGGCTTTGGACCTCTGAGCGGAGTTTGGACAATGGGCGTCGGGTGTGTTGGACAGACGCTATATTTGCCGTGCGATAGCCGAGTGAGATGAAGGGATCTTTTCGCGGGAGATAAAGTGTGCTCGAGCCATGTTGTCTCCCTTCGAGACTGCACCTGATTTGGATTGCACAAACCATATATGAGCACGCAGCTGATGGGGTTCGGAGGATGGGCCACTGGTACAATGCCTTCCGTTGCTGGCTTCGGGTCATTGATGGGGATCATACGAACGATAGATAGATAGATAGATACCACGAGGTTAGCAGCGAGTGCCGATCCTTCCACAGCTATGCCATCATCACTAGCCAATGCGCGTCTTCATTCAGTTTAGCAAGCAACACTACGCCTTCCTACAGACCGACGACGCATTCCAACCATCAAGAAGTATCAAGCGGCAAGCTGCATCACTTATTTCTTCTTGGCACCACCCTTGGCCGACGGCTCCTTCTTGTTCACCGACTTGATCACACCCACAGCCACCGTCTGACGCATGTCACGCACGGCAAAACGACCCAGAGGCGGGTACTCGGCAAACGACTCGACGGTCATGGGCTTCGAAGGCTCCAGGACGACCATGCAAGCATCGCCCGACTTGACAAACTTGGGCGCCGTCTCGAGCACCTTGCCCGAACGACGGTCCATCTTCTCGATAATCTCTTTGAACTTGCACGCAACGTGCGCCGTGTGGCAGTCCAGCACGGGCGAGTAGCCGTTGCAAATCTGGCCAGGGTGGTTCAGCACAATCACCTGCGCCGTGAAGTCCTGCGTGCCCTTGGCCGGGTCGTTCTTCGAGTCCGACGCCACAAACCCACGACGCAGCTCCTTCACCGACACGTTCTTCACGTTAAAGCCGACATTGTCACCCGGCAGCGCCTCGGGCAGCGACTCGTGGTGCATCTCGACCGACTTGACTTCCGTCGACAGACCCACGGGGCCAAACGTCGCGACCATACCCGGCTTGATCACACCCGTCTCGACACGCCCCACCGGTACCGTGCCGATACCGCCAATCTTGTACACGTCCTGGAGAGGCAGCCGCAGCGGCTTGTCCGACGGACGCTTGGGCGGGTTCAGGTTGTCCAGCGCCTCGAGCAGGTACGGGCCCTTGTACCACGCCATGTTGGGCGAGCGCTCAATCATGTTGTCGCCCTCCCAGCCCGAGATCGGCACGAACGGAATCTTGGCGGGTTTGTAGCCCACCTTCTTCAAGTACGTCGTCACCTCCGACTTGATCTCCTCGTACCGGGCCTGGCCGTACATGACCGACGAGTCGTCCATCTTGTTAATGGCCACGACCATCTGCTTCACGCCCAGCGTGAACGCCAGCAGCGCGTGCTCGCGCGTCTGGCCCTCCTTCGAGATACCCGCTTCGAACTCGCCCACGCCCGAGGCCACGACCAGAATCGCGCAGTCGGCCTGCGACGTGCCGGTAATCATGTTCTTGATAAAGTCACGGTGTCCCGGCGCGTCAATGACCGTGAAGAAGAACTTGGGCGACTCGAACTTCCACAGCGCAATGTCAATCGTGATACCGCGTTCACGCTCGGCCTTGAGGTTGTCCAGCACCCACGCGTACTTGAACGACGTCTTGCCCAGCTCGGCCGCCTCCTTCTCGAACTTCTCGATCGTGCGCTTGTCAATGCCGCCGCACTTGTAGATCAAGTGGCCCGTGGTCGTCGACTTGCCGGCGTCGACGTGGCCGATCACGACCAGTGAAATGTGCACCTTCTCCTTGCCCATGTTGATCGCCTGCTGTTCACGTCAATACAATACGAGTGGCAAGTGAGGACGGGGATCGGTGTCAAGCAGCTGTGCCAGCCAATCAGCGACGACTTACCTTCTCGACTGGAAATCTGAGTATGAGGGAGCAAATAGGGAACGGCCGCGGTGCACCGCTTGTGGTCGAAGGGCTGCGACGGGCTGCTCGTTTTCAGCCAATCGGAAAGAGCGACGCATTCTAGCCAGTGAAGCAGTGACTGCGTTCTTGTATGAGGGTCGGATGATGTGGTACACACGCCAGACCCCGCCATCGACGCCCAGTGCTTGCGATCGAGCACGCGCCATCGCCTTCTTACTTGGCCGTCGAGCGTCTGTTCGATCGGTGGTTGAAGCAGAGCTGACCAATCAGTGACGACTGAACCCATCTCGAGCACGGGCTGTTTCCACTACGCAACGTGTATTCAACATCTTGGCTCTGGTATTCGCACAGTGCTCCCTACAAAGACTGCAACAAGTGCGTTGAGCGACACAAAGAGGTCCGTCAAACGCCGAGCACGTGACCGCTTGACTACAACAACGGCCGTAGTCAATTGTCAAGCGGTAGAAACCGCCCCATGCGGTAAGCGTTATGTCCATTCGTGGACAAGTCACAGCACTGCACTGTGCCTCTAGTCCGAGTCGGAGCGCGGAAAGAAACCGAGGATATCCTTGATGAGAATATTCCACACGATTTGGACGGCGACTTCCGCGACAATGAGCCAGATCACGATCATTTCGAGCTTCGTGTCGTGTTGATGCGCAAGCTGCTGGCTTAGCACGTCCAGTCTGCATCCAGAATGTCATTGTAACAGTTGACCATCTCAACTTAGCAACGAGCTCTCAACCCGAGTTGGAAAAGCAAAGACACGTACAATGCACGGAGGATGTCCAAACGCGTGTTGAGGATCTGGACACGGTTCTCCACGCTCAGATACTTCATCACTTTCTTGTACAGCGGTTCGTACTCATCGTCTTCCCAGAAAAAGTCCGGCTCATCCAGCATGTCGGAGTTCAGATTGACATCGCTTCGCTGCATCATAGGCACACGCCACGCCAGCGTAAGAATGTAGGCACATGCGCGTCAATGTCCATGCAATGTACCCCTTACTCACCTCGATAAACAACCGACCAATGAGTTTTGAGATGTCGTCTTGGGAGTACTGGATCGATCCTGTCGCTGCAAGATTCTGAGGCACATGTTTCGTCTCGCGAATCGTCTCCTCCACGCGCTCTTCGAAAACGTCCAGCTTCGACGACTGTGCCATGGCAAAAGACACTGCCAGCTTCTCGGATGCGCGGTTGCTGCTCAGCGTAATCGCATCGTTGCAGATGATGCTTGTGTCGCCATACATGTAGTCCATGTCCTCCACCTCTACTTGTTTCACGGGTCCCACCGAGAACGCTCCAAGTGCTACTAAATGCGCCTGCTCTTCTGCCCTTGTCAAGCCCCAAAAAACGGCGCACCCCGTTCTGCATTGCATCCAAACAGCACCTCTTGTGTCAGTGAACGACGTCGCACAAGCCACGAAAGTACCACGATCATTGTAACACACGCAAAGTAGAAGGCGTCCTTCTGTTGATAGGGGCTAGAATAGATACCACATGACACCATCACAAATGCATCTTCGGCGTCAGAGACCACATTCGTTTGCAAGAAAACACGAACAATAGCACTCCAAGAGCTACGATGCATGCAGCACGGACACAAGATTTGGCGCTGGCACACAGCTCGAATGGATTGCACCCATGTACATCTCGTGGGTCCATCCATCCGGATGCAGCTCTCCACCCGGCAATTGCCCCGTTTCGACGCGCTCGAGCCACTTGAGCAGCTTAAACAGCTGCAACTGGTCGCACGTACAGTATGCCGACACGCGCAGCTTTGAGCTACTCGGAGGAGCGCGCAGTTGCTTGTTGATCGTCCGCATACGAGAGCGTCTCGTCGTGTGGCTCACGGTACCAGGAGTCGGCAGCGGCTTTGGCGCTCCTCGTTTGAACTTGCGGGGAATGCCAAAGCTGCGCCAGTTCGTGCGTGGAATCGGACGGAACGGCTCTGCTTGTTGCCGGTAACTCGTCGGCGACAGCAATTGGCCATCCAGATCGCTCAAGTCCTCGAGCTCTTCGCTTTTGCTCTCCTCGTTGCGACTGCTGGCGCGACTGTTGCTGCTATTGCTGCGACTGCTCGAGTTGTTGTTGGGAGTGCTGTTGCCGTGAAAGTAACGACGCGAGTCGTTGCTGATCTCTTCGCCCTTGCGGTCGTACACGGCCGAGTCCGAGTTGTAGTTGAGCGAGATGCTGCCGGGAGGGAGCAGCGGCGACGTCTCGGGCGCGTCCACGGCAGCATCGTGGAGGGGACTGCGGCTCCGTCGCGAGCTCATGACGGACGAGAGGTTGGGATCGCGGTGGGGAATGGTCGAAAGGGTCGCGAAAAGCGCGTGCACCACACGAATGTGGTGTGGCAGGCGGTGCACAACGTAGAGCGCGCGTTGGGACTGGAGTGGGTGGGTGAGTGGGTGATTGGGTGGGTGGATGGGTGGGTGATTGGGTGGATGGTCGTTTGTCGATCGATGATCGTTGCACTGGTTTAAATTGCTCGCAAGCGGGTGGTTGATACCGTCACTTGCCCTTAGAAACCGTGAGCGTGCCGTGCCCTGCGTTTCTAAAAGCAAGCGATTGAAGCCCAAGCTGCACAACGGCGACAGGTGCAGACTGATCGGGTTCAATGAATGTGCCGATAGCTGACTTGGCGAGAAGTCTCTTGTCGACAAGTCTCGTCGCAGCCGAGGCACCAAGTAGTCCTTTCCACTGCTGCGTCTACTACGGCAATCTTTTTTATCGTCTTCAGTCTCCTGCTTACCTTCTGGACATAGAGTAGTGGACGATGCTGCCAGCATCGTGTGCGCTCATGTAGAGTCGTGCAGTATGATCGAGTTCGATGGACGATCGTCGCAGTACCATCTGGGAGTTGTGTTCTCTATTGCTGCGTCATCCAGTACAAGTCGTGCCAAGTTGTCATGTCTCTGTCAGTCGGCCGACCAGTGATATGGACAGTGACACGAAAGAATTGCTGTCATCGCAGATACTTGAGCAAACTCCACGTTTCCCAGCGATCTGAAGAAAGGGGCGCAATTGCAGCAATACCGTGTACTTTTTTCACCCGGCGCTGCATCGTTGTCGCAATCTGTTGCCACCACGTGTCGTTGCGGCTGTTATTGCCCTCCTCCTCCGACGTCGTAGTCGGGTTTCCGTCGATGGTAATGTAGAAGCTTCGCCTACGTTACGATACGTTTTGGGATAGAAGACGACCTGAAACCTGCTGCAAGGAACTGCTCTCGGCATGTAGGGGGGAGAGAGCTGCACAGAGAGCCAGCACGACGAGCGGGGCATTGGGACCTGCGTGGAGGACAATGGGGTCGACGCGTGGAGTAACGACGGTCATTGCGCGTTGCTGGACCCCGATAGGCCGCCAGAAGTCGTGGTAGGCTCGCCATGTTGCGACGGCGGAACACGTCGCGTTTGTTTGGAGCGTGCGTGCGTACTCGCTACTGGTACCGAATTGGCAAATGTGACGAGAATATGCGAGACATGCAGCAAACAAACGGAGAAGCTGTTGAAGCGTAGTCGCTGCAGACTCAGCGCACTTTTGCGTCAAACGGTCGGATCCCGCTCTCTGGCTGATGCGTCCGTTTGCCACCTGTAAAAGCGTGTGGATGTTCTTCCGTTGTTCGTGTGGCTCGCAACAATCGATACACATTATGCACATGATGAATGCATGGCGATGACAAAACTCTGGCGACGACAAAGTGTTTGTAACGTACATCTTTCTTGCGACTACCAATTTGTTTGCTTGTCTGTCCGGTTGCCCGTTCGTTCGCTCTGCTACACTGGAGCTGGTGCTTACCTGCACGATCATGGCCAGCCGCCAGACTCCTGTATGCCAGACGTCGAGGGCAACTGGTTGGCGTTTGTAAACCCAATCGATTTTGTCTGTTTACTTCACCGCCCAACACCCGACAGACTTTTGCGTGTCATCTCGAAACCGCAGATCGTGCTGGCGGTTAGGTCCATTCTGGAAGGAAACATGAGTCCAGAGGCTGTCCAGTTCGATGCCGCTGGGGCCAGTACGTTGCCCAACACGAATCAATGTGTCTCATCTTCTGCTTTTACGTCAATTACCAACACATGTAGCGAGAAAGAAGTGGACATTACGAATGCGAGCGAAGACCTGACCGGGACGGGCCTCTTGAGGTCAGACGTCAGCCAATGCCCGGTAAAGAAGACTCGTACTAGGTACGGACACTCATCACGCATGTAGAATCCATGTTCGCTACGACACGTTCTTCCGTGCCAAACATATCTGCCCACACATGGAGTGCAGTAGCGACTTTGGCCTGAACAGCTGCACTGCAGCCCGTGGCAGATGGCAGGGGTTGTCAATCTCGAATCCATGCACGGTTCTACTCACTTGACTCGTACATTCTCAGCGATCGCTGATCGACCACATCTGGCCAAAAGTGATCGCCACCACGTCTGTACAAACAGCGGTTTGAGATGGCGCAGAACGTCAACGAGAGAAATGAGGGGGTAAACGGCGTACGTACAAGCGCTCGGGAGCAGGGTGTAGTAATATCTGGATATTACAATGCTCCCTCCGTCGTATACCATCTTGTTGGCGTAGTAACAGGTAAGTGGGGCAATGGCAACGTGAAGGGACTTCGAATTCAGGCATACAATGTCCTAGCCGCTTCATGGATCATCCGAAGACTGCTAGCGACGCTGTATACAGTTTGCACACAAAGGGCCACGCAGACAGACAGACATCCACCGGCAATCAATGCGACCGAAGTATCGTTCGTCGAACGACGAGGCTGCCTGACGGGGTTTGTCTCTGCATACCGTCGGTCCACAGTGTATGACACTGTTCTCTTTTCGCTAATGGGGTCGCCCGCAGGTCGTCAAAACGCAACTCGACCGCCTGACTGACTGCCTGACTGCCTGACTGCCTGACTGAGCGGGGCGGGCGAGCGCGAGTCGGACAGCCGTCGCTTCATTGGTCACTTTGTTTTCCGTGTTCGCGGTTGAAGTATGGCCGCGTTGCTCGACTGGTCATTGGCATCACCGACGCCCTTGACCGACTCGGCCGCGAACGAGGGAAAAGAGGTCTCGGTCTCTACTAGTCAGTACTGTGCTGGATTACTGTTCATCGAAAGCGTCGGTACGCACGTGTTGTACTGTAGATGGGTCCGATCCTCTGTGCTAACGTTCGATTCGATCAGCGAATCAGTGGCCTCCAACGGGGCGCAATCTGCCAACGGTTACGCGTCGGATCGGTTTTAGCCTTTTGTTTGTCTTCGTTTCACTATCGACCGAAGGGAAGACTGACTGACCGACCGACTATCCTCGGGAGGATGGATCCCTGATGATGTGACCCGCCGCCGTGACGCTGCATGATTGCGGCCTAAACCCAAGCGCTTGTATGCGGCACGCGCGTCCGTGGGTCGTGATTGCGCCATCATCTTCCACCGATGTCTCGATGTTCAATTGACCGCAAATCGTTCGTCAAAGGCGACGAGCTCGCGCGTGCATACAAACGTCGATACTAAAAACTAGATACCGTCTCGCGGCGCTCGTGCAAGCATTGCGCCCACGCAGTTCGACGACAACGTGGTCGACGGTGACCTCCGTTGATGATGATGCAAAAGTGAAAAAAGATGCTGTCGTTGCTAATGCCTAAAAGGAGCGGCTACGAAGCTGCAACTGCTGTCACAGAAGGCAGGAAAACGACCAATGGACCAGTAGTGTCTGCAACGATTGATGGACTATGTGCGAACGGCAGTCGCCAACAGCAGCAGCAGCAGCAGTCGCAGCAGCAGTACCTGCCGTGAAAAAAAAAGACCAGCGGCAATAGAGCGTCGACACCTTGAGCAGGGGTCACTGCTCTCCATAAGGTGTGCTAGAAACTCGTGTGTCTCCTTGTTCAGTTACTTGCCGGTTTGGTTGCGCTCGTGTTTGTCTGCCTGTTTTCTTGGTGTTCCTCTTGGGTCGTTCGTTGATCTTCGGGACGTGTTGCCCCGCTTGAAGTCGCTCCGGCGCTGCACACGCGGAGGGCCCTAATCAGGCCGTGCCGTCCGCCCATTGGTTACCACCGCCGCCGCCCTAGCCGCCCCCCAGCTGCCGGGACGAGCACCCACGGGGCCCGTTTCCACGCCCGCTCGATCGCCTCATTTGCGCTTTTCAGACCCGCCCCATCGCTCCGCTCCCTCTCTCCCCCCGCTCGCGCTCGAGGCCGCTCGCTGCCCACCGACCCACCGACCCACCGCCCGGCAAAAGGGACACACAACCGCAACACAGACCCACACACAAAGACACACAAACACAACACAGACGAACACAAAGAAACACAGACAAACACAGACAGACAAACACAGACAAACACAGACAAACACAGACAAACAGACAGACAGGCAGGCAGGCAGACAAACGCGGACAGAGAGACAAACGCAGACAGAGAGACAGGTCCATCATCAGCTCGCGCACGTACGTTCGATAGCGCGTGAGTCAGGAAGCGACCGACCGACCGACTAACCGACCGAGCGAGCGACCGCGCGCGCGCTCTCTCTCTCTCTCCCTATCGCCACGCGGTCCCTCCTGCATGACCCTCGAGCCCCGTTCGGCCCCTCTCAGTACGACTACGACCACGACCACGACCACAGCCCCTTGCGCGCCGCCCATGCCGCTGTTCAGCAGCAGCAAACGCGCAGCGGCCGCTCCGCTCTGTCCCGCGCGCGCCGTCTCGCTCACGGCCTACAACGACAGCGACGACAACACTGACGCGCACGTCATCGACCACAGCAGCAGCGACAGCGACGTGCCGCCCATGGAGCAGCTGCTCGTGAACCACTTGCGCTTCGCGCACGCCGTGCGCCAGAACGACGCGGCGCAGATCCTGCAGTTCCTCGCCAAGGACGTGACGCTGCGGGCCATGGACGGCGCGCGGCACGACGGGCAGTCGGCGGCGCTCGCGTGTCTCGTGGGCGCGCGCATGACGAAGCTGAGCTCCAATCTGCGCGTCAAGGGCTTTCCCACGCGCGCCGGCGCGTGCCAGTCGACGTTTGTCTACGAGCACGGGCTCGTGTTCAAGGACCCGCTGTACATGGAGGTGCTGGACTGGACGGCCGACGGCGCGAGCGTCGTGCGCATCGCCCACGTGCCGCTCCTCGCGGACGCCAAGAACAGCAAAACGCTGCAGGACTTTGCCCGCATGACGTCGCTGCGCCACGACAAGAAGCAGCACGCGCGAGTGGCGGACGCTCGCTGTGCAGGTGACGCGAAAGAGAACACGCATCACAAGGACGAGGACGACGACGACGACGAGGACGAGGGCGGGCGCTGGAGCAGTCGCGGCTCGCGGTTCAGTGAGGGCACGGGCAGGTCGAGCAGTCTGTGTGGCCACATGGGAGGGCCGATGAGGCGGAGCCAGCGTCGCCGGCCCAAGAGCTCGATCGACAGCAGCAGCAGTACCGCGTTGACGGCTGCGAGTCTCCGGCTCTCGACGTGTAGCAGCTCGAGCAGCAGTCAAAGTGGAGCGCAGGAAGTGGCAGTGCAACCGTTGGCAGTTGGTGCTGCTGCTGCGGCGACGGGCGCCACGAGTAGTCGCTGGAAGATGCCGGAGGTCGAGTTGGTCGAGATCTCGTGCACGAACTTGACGCCGATTCGAAGGCGCAAGACGGTGAACCCGTTCGTGACGGTGCAGTGCCCCGAGACAAAGACCGAGTGGAAGAGTCCCGTGATGCGACGAGAGCCCAACCCCACGTGGAATACAATGCCACTGAGGATTCCCGTGCACGCGCACGCGGGCGTCGTGGAGATTGCGCTGTGGGACCACTCGTTCTTTCGGTCGGTCAAAGTCGCGGGCGCTGCGCTGGTCGAGTCGGACGTGCTCACGAACGACTCGGAGTTTGGTGCGACGATTCAGTTGGAGCGATACGACGTCGGCCGTATCGATGGGGAACCACAGTACGTGACGATGAATTTTCGCTTTGTGCGCCGGGGCGACGTGCCAGCTCGTGCGTCGAACGAAACGGGGCACAACACGGCGCGAGGCGACGCGAGCGAGGCTGGCAAGACTGCGCAGCAGACAAGCGTACGCGGGTCAGTGCTGGACAACGGCCTCAAGTGGCTGGTGGTGCAACCGCATGCAAACGGACAACACGTCTCTGGACTCGCCATGCTCTTTCGTGCCGCTGTGGTTGCCGCGATGGTGTGGATGCTGTTCCACGCCACGCTCGGGTGGCCAAAGCAAGTGTTATAGGTCCCAGCTAGTAGAAAAGCGTATGTTAGAAACAAGAGTTACCGCCCCCAAGAAGAGCAGTAGACTCGATGTAAATGATGATGACCCGTTGGTGTGTGTGTCTATGTCTATGTCTATGTCTGTGTCTAAGTATCCTGAAACCGCAGACGCGAGCGGACGCGATCAGTGCTTCAGGAACGCCATCTTGTTGCGACCTCGTGCCCGGTCTCTCGCCATCAACCCGTATTGCTGCAAGATCAGGCGATAGACCCTACACCTCTTATTTGTATGCCAGCCAATCCTTTGTTACGGTGTCGGAGCTGCTGGCTCTGCCTGTCGCTCCGGATAGCAGCCGCACGGGCGAATAGGTGTGCGCGTGTGGCACTCGCATCGAGCATATGACTGACTGCCGGCCAGAAGACTGTAAATACCGTGTGATTGCTGGACATCCTATTTCCGCTGTTCGACCGCTTTGTTCAGTTTACTGTACCAGGAAACACCCGACGTACAAAGATGAGAGCAGCAGTCTCCTTCCCGCACGTTCTTCTCAAGCAGTTGTATAGTTATGCCAACAGCCCAATCCAACTCAACGAGTGATGAACGCGGGTGTGAAATCGCTGTGGGTCACGTGCAGCAATGGCGTAAACATGTCTTTGCGCCCGCGCAAGTCCGACCACGGCACCCAGCTCCAGCCCTCACACTTGTGTGGCTCCATGTTCCTGACGATTTGCTCGTCGTTCACGACGGCTTGCATCAGGATCGTTATGTAGTGCTTGCCTTCGTCCTCCATCGGGTCATTCGTGACCGTGGCGAATGTCGCTTCCTTCAGATCCAGGTCTAGACGGCAACAACGGTCAGTCAGTTAGCTTTGCTACCGCATTTGCTTGAGGTAGGCAGTAGGGGCGGCGTCCATTTACGTACCCGTTTCTTCCTTTACTTCTCGAACGGCACACGCCTCCCAGCTTTCGTACATTTCCAAGTGTCCGCCCGGCAAAGCAAACTTGCCTTCTCCGTGCGAGCCCTTGCGCTTGCCGATGAGCACGCAGTCTGGGTGTTGCAGCGACGTGAGCAAGACACCTACACCCACGCGGACGACAGTCTTCTGCTCTTTCAGCATGGCGCATTCAGCCTGCAGTGCTTCGATCCTGCAACACACGCACACACACAACAACAACACACTATCAGCACGTGACGTTACCTCACGCCTCTTCCTTTCTTCTTCTTCTTCTTCTGCAAGAACAAATGAGCGACAATACCGATTCATCTCGGAAACGTCTTGTGTCTCGAGGAAGCTGATAACCGCGTCGAGGTTAGACGTGGAGCTCAGCTCGCTCCACTGGCTGATCTGACTGATCTGGCTCAGCTGACTGATGGGCTCAGTGAACCCATCGCTGCCGGCTCGCAAGTCAGTGTTCCACACACTGTCCTCGCTCTCTCCTCCTTCTTCTCCAGTTGTGTACTCCCACGGCGACTGCGACTGGACCGACGTGTCGGTCGCAACAGCCGGAGACGAACTCGAGTCAACTGGATCGGGTGCACTGGTCGCCTGTCGACAAACAGTACCCAAATGAATCACTCGGTACGATACGATCTGCTCCTTCCACTCGCAACTGCACACAAAACGAAACCACGCGACGCACTTCGCCGACACTGAGCTGACTCGAACACAAGAGCGAGTCGTCCTTCTCGATGTATTTCAGCAGCAAAACCCTCAGCTTGGCGTTCTCTCGGGCCTAATGCACACACAACACGACACACACATATCGTTTGGTCAGACCGCACGAGCGAATGGCCCTACAAACGTCCGTGCAGACCCACTGTGAGCACGAGTGTGCGCTTCGCCTCCTGCAGCGCATTGCGACACGTCGCCAGATCTTCTTCGGCGTCGCGCAGTGTCCGCCGCTTCTTCTTCTTTCCAGCGGCTGTGTCGGAACAAATGGGTAGCGCGAGTTGGTCCATTCAAAGCGCTTCTGCGATGGATCGACTTCTTTATCGCTACTTTTGACCACCAACCTGTCGATCTATCTCCCTCCATCTATCTATCTATCTATCTATCTATCTATCTATCTATCTATCTATCTATCTATCTATCTATCTATCTATCTATCTATCTATCTATCTATCTATCTATCTATCTATCTATCTATCTATCTATCTATCTATCTGTCTGTCTGTATGTGCATCTATTTGTCATCTATCTATCTATCTGTCTGTGCATCTATTTGTCATTCTATCTATCTATCTATCTATCTATCTATCTATCTATCTATCGATGCATCTATCTATCTATCGACTCGGCGACAGATTTACCGCGTCTAGGCTTTCGGTGCTGGCGAAATGCTGTTAAATAGCGTATACGCACGCAAGTTACGGAGCCTCTAACTGATACTCCATCTACTGACTGCTCGACCCTTTATTCTCTGAGAAGTTGAAGCGGCACGGCACAAGAGCCATAAGCCAATAAACGGAATCAGACGTCTTCAAGTTGAACGAACACAGAAGTGCCTGTGTCAGCAACACCAGCTGTTGCTGCTACAAGAGCTACGCATGGCAAGAACTCTGCGTGTCGATGCAGAATGGATGTAAATGCTGCAGCCTTCCGACCTGATCAGATGATCACTGGTGCAACTTTGCATCCATCTCGTCGCTTGTGCCGCTACCAAATCGGGCTGACGTTCCCATACATTGCAGCGCTACCGCATCAACACCATCTTCTCGTGCTGTTGCCTGCCTGGCGGCACGGTCCTTACTACGGGTGCCTGACTCGCAGTGCTCGCAAGAGATCCTGCTGGACAGAAAGACAGCCGCCCCCGCAGGACACTGGAATAGTACCTGCGCAATGTATTTCAACGAGTGCATACTCGCAGTCTGATTCCCGTCCACTCTAAACGACCAACGACTGGCACCGGTGCCGTCGGTTCGAGCACCGTCGATCGCACAGCTGCTGGATCGACGCTCAGCTGCCCATCCAGCGATACGACGGCAAGCGGTTGCCCTCTTCATCTACCTGACAGTCTCGATTCAGACATACCCAGATAAGGGCCAACGTCGATTGCTTCACGCCATCCTGCGAGCGAATGAACACAGCGCCGTTGTGGTTGCACGCGGGACACGTGACGTCAAAGTCGCGCTGAAGCGTTGGGTCGTCGATCACGTCACCAGGAAGCACGTCCAGTTGTACCCTGCAGTAGAAACAGCAGAAAGAGAAGAAGGAACAAGTCCGACGCACACATAGGAATGAGACCCCAACGTCGGTCGATCGGTGCGTACGTGCAGAGAGCATTAATGTCAGAGCCACACTGGAACTCGAGACGCACCGCGTGTCTTTGACCAGTTCATTCACATATATACAGTTCTCCTCCACGTCCTCCGTCTGTCCGCAATTGCGACAGCGAAAGACGAGACGACGGACGTCACGGTCTTGACTCGGGTACAACATGTTGTTGCTAGAAAGGGCACCGCACGGTCCACACAAGAGCACAAAGAGGGACAACAAGCCATTCCGTTCGTCAGTCAACCAAATAGATAGAGAGTTTGTATGCATGGGAATAAATGGGTAGAAATGGGAATGTATGAGTGACTGAAAGAGGACGCGCTCGGCCTACAGAGCCCGTGGTGGACTGAAAATGGTACGGGATGCAAGCGCGGGACACGCGCTCTCCCTGTGGTGCTACAGTCGCGCCAAAAGGCCATTGGGGACTCACTCACCACTCGCGGCAGAAGCGCATTCCAGCGGCCGCCATCGCGACACTTGAGGTGGCTGGAGGCGTTGGACAGTGTGTCTCCGTCTAAGTGCGATCGTTTGGGCCGAGAGCTCCTCCGCGTTGATCCCGTGTCGCAGCGGTCCGATTCGCTGATTGGATGGCGACATCAGTTGGTGGTGTGGCGGACCTCACACTCGAGGCGCTGAGCCTTCGCGTCGACAGCGATCGACGTTTGTGAGACTGCATCTTGTAGTGCATTTACTCGATAAGGCTGATGCTTATTCAGTCAGAAGCTGCATCAGATTCATCATTGTAGTCAGAATCGAGCCCAATGCTGTCACGTGCATCGCGTTGACACGGATACAACTTGGCGTAATGTGCTTTTTCGCGGACATAACACGACAGCGAGGAAGATTCGCTGAGCGAGGTACTGGGCATCTATGCGGCTGCAAGCAGCTTTACAGCTCGGGGGATGGAGGCAAGTCCCGATGGGATCACACCAGAGTCGAACGACAAATGACAGTTTAGCTCAGTGCCTGGAAGTGAAAAGCTGCAGCAGTTGCACGTTGTCGAACGTCAATAGTGTTGAGGTTCAATACAGCGACTTCGATCATGACGCAAAGTGGAAGTAGACAGGGGGCACTCTGTTGGTGTGTAGGAAGCGTTTACGAGTGAATGCGCCTTCAGGTCCCCAAAACTATGCGTCGAAATGCAAAAAGTCTGTCTGTCGCCGTCACGTAAAGGTCGAAAGCTGAGTTCTGTCGTGCGGTACGAGCGCATATGGTTTGTTCGAGCCCTCGATCGTTGGTGGAGACGTTACCATTCTGATAGAATCCAGCGAGCTCTATCGATGAGATCGAGAGCGGAGAAGAGCAGGCGTCGGGGGGGTTCTTTGACTATTTGTGAACACACTTGCTACATAGTCTCGGCCCGTAAGACGAACACTTGCAGAGCGCTCGCACAATTTGGGTAGCATTAACGTTGTTGTCCAGGACCTCTGGATGCTATGGCGACCGAAGGTACCGGGCGAAGCGGAGGAGTGATCAGAATAGATATGATCCGTCAATGTGCACGAGCTCGTGGACCCCATAAAATCGCTGATTCGCTTTCGATAGAGAGACAGCAGCTAACAGTGACGCATTCGTGGTGCCAAACCGTTACGGGAGCTTTATCGGCGCTATTCTTTCGATCCTTCTCTCGCGTGCCCACGCCCTCGAGCAGAGAACGTGGTTTTCGGCAACAATTGCCAACACGACATTAGGGAATGTGTCACACTGTCGCCTCCGAAGCTCAATCGTCCGACGACCGCTCGTCTGAACCCGACCGACCGTGCAACAGCAATCACTATTCATGACGGGACGACTGCTTGCTGTCCGTCCCACAAAAAAGAGCCCAAGGCGCTTTAACGTCACTATTGCGCGATGTCCCACTTAACGCGCCCGTTGTTGCGCCTGTTTTTGTCCCCACGACACTCCCTCGCTCGATTGTCATTCGTTCCCACCAGCTGGTAACTCCCCCAGCCCATCGTCGCACTTCGCGTGCCTAGACTAGGCCCCCCCACCAGCCTTCGAAAAGCGCCCGTGTCCGACCAAACCGCCCCACAATCCTCCTCCCCCACCCGCCACCGAGCAGCTCCTCTCTCTGTCGCTGTCATGGACGCCCACCAGCTGTGCGAGCTCGAGACGCTCTGCCGCGCGCTGTACGAGAGCGCCAACGCGGCCGAGCGCGCGCACGCCCAGCAGGCCGTGCTCGTGCTACAGAGCTCGGCCGAGTACATTCCCCAGTGCCAGTACGTGCTCGACCACTCGTCGTCGCCCTATGCGCTGCTCGTGGCGAGCACGAGCCTTACGAAACTCATTACGTCGCACTGGAACAACTTTACGACCGTTCAGCGCGTGGATATCCGTACGTGCAACTTTGTGGATTTCGAGCCCGCGGACGCGCTGATTGGCTCGTGTGGCGCTTGTCGACTAGCGGCTGCGCGTATACTTACTTGAAACACACGCACACACACACACATTGCGGTCGTTGCCTGCGTGTGATTGTTATACTTGTGGAGTTAATTGTGGTTGTTTGTCGTTGTTGTTTGTGGTGGTTGTTTGTTTGTGGTGGTTGTTTGTGGCTATTGGTTATCAGGCAATTACGTACTGAGCTATTTAGCGCAAAAAGGGCCGACGCTCGAGAAATTCGTGGCCACGTCGCTGATTCAGATGGTCTGTCGACTCACTAAGTACGGCTGGTTCGACGACGAACAACATCGCGGCATTGTCGCCGAAGTGACCAAATTCCTCCAGGCGACCGTCGACCACTGCGTCATTGGGCTCCAAATCTTGAGCGAACTCGTGACGGAAATGAATTTGCCCGTTGCCGGGCGCAACATTACGTTCCACCGAAAGATCGCCGTCTCGTTTCGCGAGGAATCGCTGTTTCGGATCTTTCAGGTGGCGCTCACGTCGATCAAACAGCTTCAGATGCACAACTTTGGCGGCGCGACGCCGCAGCAAGAAGACCGCATGGGCCGTCAGGCGCTTGCGCTGCTGATCAAGTGCCTCTCGTTTGACTTTATTGGCACGAACCCCGACGAGTCGTCGGACGAGACGGGCTCGCTGCAGGTGCCCACGTCCTGGCGCGCTGTGATTCAAGAGCCCGACACGCTGCAGATGCTCTTTGACTTTTACAGCATGACGAACCCGCCGAATACGTCCAAGTGCCTCGAAGCGCTCATGCTGTTTGCGTCCGTGCGACGCAATCTCTTTTCGCCAGACAAGGAGCGGAGCGTGTACGTGGCGCACTTGCTGAAAGGCATTTGCGCCATCTTGCGCGCACAAGAAGGGCTGTCGGACCAGCAGAATTACCACGAGTTTTGTCGGCTTATTGGTCGGCTCAAGTCGAATTACCAGCTCTCGGAGCTCATGAAGACAGAGTCGTTCCAAGAGTGGATGGACCTCACGCCGGATTTCACAATCAAGTCGTTCCGTCAATGGCAGTGGTCGGCAAACTCGACGCACTACTTGTTATCGTTGTGGGCGCGGCTCGTGGCGGCGCTGCCGTACGTGCGTCCAGACTCGGTACCGGGCTCGCCAAACTCGGGAACCATCAACTTTCTGGACTCGCGCGTACCTCAGGTCATTCAAGCGTACTTGCAGTCACGTCTGGATTCAGCTGAACAGTGCGTGCTTGACGAGACGCTGGAGAACCCGCTAGACGACGAGGGTGGTCTGTACGAGCAACTGGAAAAGCTACCGACGCTGTGTCATTTCAACTATCGGCAGACGGGCGAGTACATTGTGTCCATCCTCGACCCGATCTTGAATCAGTACGCCGAGGCGTGTAGCATCTTGAACCAAACGGGCGGAGCTGCGATCCCACCACAGCAGCAGCAACGACTCGAAAGCATGGAGAATCAGGCAGCATGGCTCGTGTATACTATTGGCGCTATCATCGGCGGACAGACATACTCATCGACGTCCATGGAAGGCGACGAGCTTGTCGACGCAGACCTCTCACAGCGCGTGTTTCGCGCGATGCAGCTCACGGAGCATCGAATCATTGCCTCAGGCGGGCAAACAAAACCGAGCGTGCACTTTGAATTATCGTTGCTGTACTACTTCAGCAGCTTTCGCAAGAGCTACATTGGCGAGCAGCACGGCATGCCGTCAGCTCCCACGCCGTCATCATCTTTGCAGTCGACAGCGGCCGGGTTGACCTCGTCGCCGATTATGGTTCCTAGCGAAAGCACCATGTCATCGAAGCACAAAGCGTATTTGCGCATGTTTGAGCGGCTAGGACTGGGCGACCACACCGTTGTCGTGAACATGATGGTAACGAAAATAGGCAACAATCTGAAATTTTGGGGCGACACTGAGGTGATTATTAGCAAGACGCTGGCACTGTTTTTCGAAGTCGCGTCTGGATATTCCTGTGGCAAACTACTCCTTGGGTTGGAAACGGTGCAGTACCTCGTTGGGAACCACACGGCAGACGAGTTTCCGTTCATGGCGGTCCCAGCAAACACGCGTCACCGAACGACGTTCCACTCGACGATTGCACGACTGATTTTTACGACAGCTTTCGACGAGTCCTCTGAACGGTTCGAGCGATTCATGGAGCCTATCGAGAATGTGCTGAATCAGCTGTTACAGACGCCCAGCTATCGTGCGCCCGAGGTTCGTGAAGCTGTGATAGGCGTGTGCCGCGATTTGCGGGGCATCGTGCAGCAGACGCACAACCGACGCACATACAGCTGCATTTTCGACTTGCTGTATCCGGCGTATTTCCCAGTGTTTGTTCGAGCTGCCGACGAGTTGTATGACCACCCGGCGGTAACAACTGCTTTGCTCAAGTTCTTGCAGGAACTAGCTTACAACAAGGCACAGCGTGTCACGTTTGACCAGAGCTCAGCTAACGGCATACTGCTGTTCCGTGAGTTGAGTAGCGTTGTAGTGGCGTACGGGCGTCGGATACAGCCAGTACCGGCAGGAAAGAATCCGTACGGCGATAAGTATAAGGGAGTGGCGTTATGTCTGGGTATTTTGTATCGCGCGCTAGGCGGGAACTACGTGAACTTCGGCGTGTTCCAGCTGTACAACGACAAGTCACTGGAGAATGCGCTAGAAATTGCACTGCAACTCGTTCTCTCGATCCCTCACGAGGACTTGATGCATTATCCGGTGGTGAGTAATGCCTACTTTTTCTTCCTAGAGATATTGTTTCGCAACCAGTTGGCGTCCGTTGTGGCATTGGATGACAGCATCTTTCACCAGCTCGTGCAATCGCTGCACGAAGGCATCAACTCGTACGACCTGGCGATGGCTGCTCAGTGTGCAACGGCAGTGGACCACCTAGCGTCGTTGTACTTCCAGGAAATGAGGAAGAAGCGGGATACACCTGTGAAGCACGCTCTGCACGCCCACGTACAGGTGTCGCCGAACATGTGGTCAACGTTGTTGGCGGCGTTGCTGGACGTTGTGGTGTATGGCGAGGTGAATGCACAATGGGCTCTATCTCGACCCATCTTGAGTCTAACGCTTTGCAGCGAGGAGGCGCTTACCAGTTACCAACAACAATTGAGCTCTACGCAGCCACCCGAGAATCGTGCACAAATTGAAGAGGCATTTGCCGCACTGTTTGCGGACGTGCGGCCGAACCTCGAGGCTGCGAATCGCGACAAGTTTACGCAGAAACTCGGCCAGTTCCGCAACACATTGCGCAGCTTCCTCACGATCAAATAATTTAGCTGGGTCCCGTAAGTCGATTGTGTGCTAGGCATGCAAGTCATGCAACGGTAGTGGACTGCAACACTCGAGCTCCACGTTTGGCGCTCAAAGCAGGCATGGACACAGCGAAGAAGATTGTGCAGTGCAAGTTGACGGGTTTGTGAGTTTCCTGGAGTGAATAGTAACTGGATGGCTGAGAGCAAAGTGAACTTGGACGAGAGATCTGGAGTGCGTGACCGAAGTGATGATCGAAGATGCAACTGATAGACTAAACAGCAGAGCACGGACTTGACCGATTGCGATAATGAATGAACCTTTGGAAAGTGCACGGAATAGATCAGCGGCAAGCAAGCATGAGGGTGTATGGTGACTAACTGCTTTGTGGTGTCGATGGCGGAGGTATCGTTCTGACATGCAACGCACTCTACGCAAGATTTGTGTCTGCTGCACGTGATCGAGGTACGTACCGCCACAACTTCTGGGCGCAAGGAGACACGTGCTTGTGGTCTACAACGTGAGAAGAAAACGATTGGGTATGGTGCCATTTACGCACTGACGCGAGACTTCGCATCTTACCTAGGACCTGCCGCACAATCGTGCAAGCTGCCGCTCGCCCAAAGCACTGAGCTGACGTTCAGTGATCGGAAATTGACGATTCGATGTGCCCTTCGCCGAGTTCAGCTGGCCAGCAGAACTGAGACCCGACAAGCGTGCTGCTATTTCAGGCAAACAACATCAATGCTGTACCAAATTACACCCAGGAACCGCATTGTTACCATCATCGAATGCCAGACTCCTTGCTATACGTTTGGTGCAGCGACTTTTCTCGCAAACACTGTCGATGCGGAGCAGCTGCTTCCTTCTGCACGACGGTGGAGTTGTTACAGTGCATTGCACCACCTTTACAGACGTCGTTGACTGATGAGCGACGTAAGGCTTGCTGCTTTGCGACCGTCACACGCACACACCAGCCCTGTTGTCGTGCAGCTACGCCTCCACTCTGTTGCGTGTATCCTTTCAGCATGTAGCTCTCTAGCTCTGTATTGCTTCCACATCTGCTACACTGCTCCCTTGTTTGCAGCTTTCGGACCACGTGCTCGCCGCTCTCACGACAAAGGCTGCACCAGCCCAAGCGGTGGAAATATTGCTCGGGCAGAATACAAACCTTGGTTCTCTTAGAACGAGTTCGTTTTGGTGGCGTAGTACGTCTTCTTCTCACGGGCTGTTTCACGATTGTTCCTCCACTTTAGCCAAGTCAACTGCACCCCACACTTGTGTCATCTCTCGCTTGCTATCCTTCCACACGTCTGCAGGTGGCACCGGTAGTCAATGCAGTAACAAGACCGAGTGTCGACGAATCTTTTGAACGCTCGCTGCGCGCGGCTTACCTAGCCTACCCTTTGCTCTGCTCGTTCACAGGAGATAGAGCTTGATCACCAAAACGTACGCAAGCAACCCTTGTTACGACAAGCTCGTGTCGTCGTCGAGCTTTGTCGCTTGACGCTCGGACACTACACCCTTGACTTGCCGCCCCTTGACAAAGACGGAAATGATGTTCCGATCATCGCCAAGGAACAGGAACTTCTGGAGCGTGTGCAAAACGTCTGCAACTTCGACGGGGTCGAACGGCTTGTCAATAGGACCGTTTGCACAGTAAGGATCCACCACGAGCGCATCAAAGTCTTTGCCAATCATAAAGTTGCCGACCGTATCGCCAAGTCCAAGTGCTTCAGCGCTGCCAACGGTCGCGAGATGAAAAGCTTCAGCATAAGACAGCGCTGCTGCCCCATCTCCTTCTTCTTCTTCCTGCAACACCGCCAGCTCGTGCTCATCACCAACACTGCCATTGCCAATCGAGACCATCTTGGACGCGGTAACAGCCTGACGAATGGCATCTAACATGGACGGCGAGTAGCCGCCCGATACGTCCGTGCCCAGTCCTACTTTGACTCCTTCTCGTAGCAGGCGACGGACATTCAGCACACCGCTCGCGAGCGAAAAGTTGGAATTCGGGCAGTGGATCACTGCCGTTTGGTTGGTCCGCAGGAGCTCGCGCTCGCTCTTGCTGCACCAGATGCAGTGCGCCATGTACGACCGGTCGTGCAAAAGTCCACATGCATCGTACACATCCGTGTACGACTTGCACTCTGGATGCAGCTGCGTGACCCACTGGATCTCCTGGCGGTTCTCGCCAAGATGGGACTGCACGGGCAACTTGGGCGAATGGGCTCGTGAAATGGCTGCGAGGCCTTGCATGAGTCTGGTCGTACAGCTCGGAGCAAATCGTGGGGTAATCACAGGCGTCAGTAGCTCGTTGTGCTTTTTTTGTACGTACGCAACAAACGCGTTCGTGTCAACAAGTGACCTGTCCGTGTCTTCGAGCAACGCACTCGGCGCGTTGCGATCCATGTTGACTTTCCCCACAAACGCACGTTGCCCACTTTGCTCCACGACGTCGACAAGCACTTTGCAGGCGTCGAGGTGGACGGTCGCAAAGTACGAGCACGTGGTCGTCCCATTGTTCAAATGCCGTCGTACAGCTTTGTCGTACACGTTTTGCGCGTGCGCGCGGTTTGCAAACTTGGCTTCGTAGGGAAACGTATAGGTTTCGAGCCACTGAAGTAACGGCAAGTGCATCCCGACCCCGAGAAACGCATACTGAGGCGCATGCGCGTGGCCGTCAATGAACCCCGGGAGCAACAGGTGGTCGCCAACGTCCACGCACGCATCAAACGTCTCAGCGCCTGGACCTGAGTCGCTGATGTCGCGCACAAACACGATTTTCCCCGTCGTGTCGTCGACACCAATGAGACCTGGCGCAAACACTTGCACGCAGTTGAGCGCGATCGAGTGTACGACCGTGCCTTTGTACGCAACGACGTGCGGCATGGCTAAAGTAACGATATGCAAAACCAAACAAACCCGCAGCGCCGACCGCGCGTGTCTAGGTTTACCTACAGCGCTCGTCGACAGCGCTCGTGCGACCGTCTGGCGCTGCATGGCTTTCGATTTCAGCCAATCACGTCTCCGCACGGCGGCCCAACTCCGTGACCAACACTCTGCACCAAACATGATCCCCGACCAGCACGCGGTCGTCCAGGCGCTTCTCGGGACGCTCGTCACATGGGCGTTCACGGCTCTCGTACGTCGCCAGCCACGTCAACTGCTCCCTCTCTGTCTAGAGCTGCCCATGTCTCATTCTCACGCGCTGTCTCTCTCTCGCTCGCTGTCTCTCTCTCTCTCTCTCTCGCTGTGTGTGTCTCTCTCTGTGTGTGTCTCTCTCTCTCTGTGTCGCTTGGTAGGGCGCGGCGATGGTCTTTGTCCTGGACGTCGAGAACAAGCGCACGAGTCAGAAGATCTTGGACGGTATGCTGGGCTTTGCGACGGGCGTGATGCTCGCGGCTTCGTATTGGTCGCTACTGGCACCCGCGATCGACATTGCCACGCAGGACGACGAGCGCTACGGCCCCGACGGGCGGTACGCGTTCGTGCCTGCCGCCGTGGGCTTTACACTGGGCGCACTCACGCTCTTTGGGACGGAAAAGGTGCTCCCCGTGCTGGAAACGCTCGTGCATGTAGATGGAGCCGCTGCTGCTGCTGCTGTTGCTGCTGCTGCTGGGACTGCGACTGCTTCAACAGCGCGAGGCGCTCTTGAGAAGAGAAAAAAGACGACGACTATCGCTGCGATGGTCAGGAGGAAGATGATGGGCGCGTCGAACCTGATGCGGCTAAGTGCACCAATCGAAACAGCTTCCGGAGGGTCTTGATGCTTGTGATCGCGATCACGTTGCACAATTTGCCCGAAGGTATGGCCGTGGGCGTGGGCTTTGGCAGTATTGGCCACAGTGCAAGGGCAACTTTTGCCAATGCGAGGAATCTAGCGATCGGCATTGGGCTGCAGAACTTCCCGGAAGGCCTTGCAGTGTCGATGCCGTTGAGACGCGAGGGCGCGTCGGCGTTCCGAGCGTTCATGTGGGGACAAGCGAGTGGGCTAGTGGAACCGATCGGAGGCGTGAGTGTTGCGTGTGCATGTGGATGATGCTGAGCGGGTAGTGGTTTGTACGACTAACTGACAGGTTTTGAACGATGCAGCTGATTGGCGCAGGTGCAGTGTTGTACGTGCAGCCGATCTTGCCGTACGCACTGTCGTTCGCAGCAGGCGCGATGATTTTCGTCGTTGTGGACGACCTCGTGCCCGAGACGACGCAGAGTGGCAACCAGAAGCTGGCAACGTTTGGCACGATCGTGGGCTTTGTTGTTATGATGGTCATGGACGTTGCACTCGGATAGAGATAGACGCGGTAGTTGTTTCGACCGGTGGGTCCGCGCAGAAGGTGAAACGCGTATCTTCTAACTCAATTTGTTGTCGCCTTGAATGGCTCCAGTTTGCTTGACTTTGGTCTGTCTTTTTCATGCTGCGTTAAGAAGACCGAAAGTCCTCACAGTGACAGACGTCACAGCAGTCTTTGCAGCTGAAGTCGACTTGTGGTTCCAAGGAGTCTGCCGGAGATTCGCCTTCTCTCACAGCCGAAGCTTGTGTTACGTGGGACAAACCACCGTCAACGAGTAACAAGGGTGAGCGTCCACCGATGAGCATGCGAATCGTCAAGGCCGGCCTTGAGCTTGTTTTCGACGAGACGAAGAGTAAGGTTCACCTTGGCTTGCAGCGGCAAGCAGTGATTGCACGACAACGCTATCACTGAACTGGTTTCGTATCCCCTGAGACCGTTGGACTTTGCTGCGGATACAGAAGTCAGTCAGCAGCGTTTAGTGATCGCTATGTTGTGCAGCATTGTGTAGCGAACCGGTTTCGTGTGCAAGCACGACATGACTTACAATCCGTTCGGATACACGCATTCCTCTGCTGGCGCTAAACCTGCTGCTGGGTGGAGCTACGATGTCCCGAGACGCCATTAAGGGACACGCAAGTTTGCGCGTACATGCAATTGCATACGAGCCTCGCACACCGATGATAGCTGCGTGGCGGTGTGATGCCGTGTAGACCTGTTGAAGTAGGTGCTGCTGTTGCACTTGTGCAAAGGGGGAGGAAAGTAAAAGTAAAACATATCCAGTGTTTACTACTCCCCTTGTCAACACTACGGTATGCATGAACTAAAACGAAACTGCAACTAGACCATGTCAAGTTGCACATAATGTCCGTCTCCCCCTCTCCCATGTGTCAACATGTCACATGGCGTCCATCTCTCTTCGCCCCATTGTGTCAACGTGTCACATGGTTAGCCAATCAGGTGAGGTCGAACGTACCTGCAACAGGTGTTGCACTTGTACTGCAGGACCTTTGACGTGTGAGAGACAGTATATTCCAGCAAGACCAAAGGTCTACTTTGACGCTCGCCTGGTCGAGCTTGCACGTCCGACCCCTTTCCACAGCGATTGCCTCTGCATATCATCAAGTGCCCATTCATCGCATGTGGCAAGGCAGATGGATATGATTTCGACGAAGAGGTGGCCTCGCGATGTGACGTATGGGAACGGGTAACGTCATTTGCTCCGTAAGCAAAAGTGTTCTGTACGTCCGAAGACACGAGTGTGATAGCAGGACGAGAGGCATGTGTCACTACGTGGTACAAGTTCGACACAATGCAAGTTACGCGTATATTACTTGGCAATGAGGCTCAATGACCGATTGCAAGTAAAGCTGATGAGACTTACTCGACGACTTGGTAGCCGTTCGAACACAGACGCTGGAAGGTGCCGTGTGTCTTGGCATTGCGGATAGCGACAGCTGCCAGGACTATGATCAATCCGCAGATACCTGACAGTGCGAGCCATTCCAGCGACAACGACGACGACGTTTTGGACTCGTCGTTGACGCTCGTGGTAGCAGTGAGAGGCACTGCCATGTCCACGTGCTGCTGCTGCACCACAGTCAGTCCAGCGTCGACCTCGTTGCTATCGACGGGATACGCGAACTCAGTGCAGGCGCTCTGGCCAAACACAAAGCACTCGAAGAGGTAGAGACCGTGCAGCGGCCGCACGGTTGGCACCATGTGGCCAGCGCCTTTGACGGTCTTGAACGTCAGCCCTTCGTACTGCTGCTCGTAGCCCGCCAACTGCTTGTCCGGTCCGAACCAAGCGTGCCACGCTGTCTTGATGCGCAACTTCAGCCCTTGACCACCGATCCAGCGCTCCGTACCGATGAAGTTCACGATCGAATCTGCGTCGCCGCTGTAGATGAGCACTTGAAGATCGTGGGTCAGAATGTTGCGGTACTGTGGCAACGACGAGGGGCTGGACTGGTAGAGATTGTAAACTGGCATGCTGCAGTCTTTCCACACAATGTGCGGGCCACCCGGTTGCGTTGCGTGGATGGCTTCTTGCACCTCTGGCTGGTTGAGGTACGCGCGAGTAAGTGAGTCTGCACAAGGTCCGATATCGCCGCGGTGCGTAGATGGCAGCTGCACGATAGACTTGGCCCGCTTACGTAAAGCGTTTACCTGCACATCATCCAGCAGGCACTTGTCGCCGTAGATAAATAACGGATTCATTGCCTCAGTATCAGCTTCTGCACGAGCCTGTTGTAGGAGCTCTCCGCACTTGGTTGGACAGGGCAAGTCGTCAAAGAGGCAGCCGATCGATTCCCCACAGTGTGCTTTGATCTCCTCGTAAGCTTCAAGCGACATGAGCGCGTGCGAGTAGTAGTAGTCGACGTAGGCGTTGCCGTCGATCAGATTGTCCGTGAACGGGTTCCCGATCGCAAAGCCCTTGAGGTTCACGCCTTGCAGCGGTTGCTCTACCAACAGGTCCACGAGGTAGGGAATGTACATGCCAGCGTAGCTCTCGCCCGTGATGTAGAAGTCGCGGTTCTGGAGCTCACTGAATTTGCTGAAGAAGAGGCTGAGGAACTCACGCGTCTTGGCAGCAACGACTGTGTCGTTGTAGTAACTTTGGTCCTGCACCTCACCGCTAAAGCCCACGCCAGCGGGAGACTCGAGCCACAGCATGTTCACCTTCCGATTCCAGGCGTACCGGTTCAGCTGAATGGACAGATCGCGCTGGACGACAAAAGGTCCGTTCTCCGTGAAGAAACCGCCCAGCGATGAGCAGCCTGGACCGCCATTGAGCCACAGCACAATGGGGGCGTCTGCAGGCTCGTGCTGACTCTCGGCGTACCAGTAAAAGAGCTTCTCGCTGCTCAACAGCTCCAAATGACCGCTGAAGTGCTTGAACGACAGCGCTGGGAGGTCCAAACCAGGCAGATGCGTCACGATGGCATCTTCATTGCAGGCACTTGTCAGTAGCACGAGCACTGCGAAGCTCGTGACGAGCTGGAAGACAAGTGTCATCGTGGACGATCGATGCGCAGGCGATGGAAAGTTTCAAAGTGTCTTTGATGGGAAGAAGGGTGAAAAGATCATGCTCCGACTCCAAGAAGAAGTATCCATACAATTTTAAAGATTGAAAAAAATCACCAATTGTTGATATGGAATACATTATTTGCGAGCATGACAACGTGCATCAATTGATTACGAAACCAAAGAAGATGCAATCATGATGGACGAGTAAGAAACGACGTATCAGATAGCGAAACACATGCATCATCGAGGTAAACTATTTGGACCGAAGATACATGTGCATGAGATTGGTCATATTCATCCACGCATACCTTGTTCATTCCTCTATTCTTTCCATCCCTTTGAACCCGTAACGTCCTTGTTAGTCGACAGTCATTTGTAAAAGAAGGAAAAAGTGGTCTGACGCTTCTTGAGTCATGTCAAGTAATGGTCGTCGTCTCAAGATAAGTATACGTGACCCGGAACTCATTCATCCAGCTTTTGTGGTTTGATACTAGGTTTGTGTAGCTGTCGTCACGGCAAACTCGTTCCGAATTGATGAGATGCGAAAGCGCCTAGCTATCAGGGCGCACACACAATGCTACCTGGTTGCCTATGGTACGACCCGAGGTGCGTGAGACGACGGATGTTTAGCCAACATCAAAAGTAGCTCCAATGGTGTAGAGTTGACGGAATGTAATGTATTGCTGTTTCTGGGAGGCGGTCACGTGGATGATTGCGGACACTTGCGATCGATTGCACGCCAACAAATTACGCAATGCGCGTGGAATGGTTTAGTCGCCACATAGAAAGAAGCACACGGTGGAGGACATGATCCACACTACAGCGTTGCACTTGTGCCAGGTAGCAGATTTCGCGATCAGCAATGTAGCGAGTCGAGTATCGGCAAGAAATGGGCGGTATTGTATGTGTGAAATAAACCAAATTGATCTTGTTTTGTTATTCTATGCATGCAATCGATGTGATCGTAGAACGAGGAGTAACGCTAAACAAAAAACCTTTTTAATCGTCACGACTCATGTCGACCTGGTCGATCGGTTATTCAACTAACAGGTCGCGCCATGCTAAAAGTCCTACGTCATCGCCGGTCGATACTCTTCGACACTAGGCCGTTTATGACACTTGAAAAAGACAAGGATTTCTCCACCCAAAGACTGTTAAATGCTCATACACACAGCTGTATCAGATCGACCGGATTGAGCGACATCGAATGCGTAGCACAATATCTAAGCACTTCATTACACTATATTCTTGACATGGTCCGTCTACTTGTATGTGTAAAAATCGATCAGTGTATAGGATGCCGCGAAAAGTAGAAGCGACATTTTTGATCGTCCTTTAACACAGCAATCATTACGTTCTCTATCAGCCAGAGAATCGTTCATCGCTAGGTCCCACTTTGGCTGTGCTTATCCGCCGAGGCTGTTCGGCCCAAATTTGACATACTCTCACCGTCTTACGATTCTTCCAGTAATCCTCATCCGTCGTCGTACGCTTGCCCCGGCACGTTATCTTCGTCCATGTCGATAACGTATTAAGTAGCTCCCGTAGTTCTGCCATTTGTTGCACCAGCAATACTTTTGTCAGTCGATCCGACATCATAAGGCGCGACTCCACTATCTTCGGTGTCACTATGCCATTTGTCGCATGATCGCATATACGTTTATTACGAATATCAACGTGCCTGAAAGTTGACGTATTCCCTTCGGTCTTCAGCTGTCTGATAGCAGCAAGACTGTCCATCAACAATGACATCGGGAGATCCACCTTGAGCTCACTCTAGCACATTAACTTTCTTAGTACAAGCAATTTTCTCCCGACGTGCGAGACCGATGCAAACTTGGCCTTCATCGTTAAAAGTGATACCTCGGTCTGCTTCTCGCACACCCACTTCACTATAGCACCGTCCATGATCAAACCTTCGAGTGTAACAGCCATGCAGTCTTCATTATCAGCCGCATCGTCCGAGTCACT